GTAGTACGTAGTACGTACGTATATATATAGTATATATATATATATATATATATATATATATATATATATATATATATATATATATATATATATATATGCAATTTAGGTCGAAGTAAAAATGTTTTCCGCAACCGGATGGGATCTGATAGAGAAAGCAGGCATGCCCCCACAAGTGATAGGACCGGGAAACAAGACCCTCTCCATTGTCAAACGCTTCGAGTTTGACCATGGGCTACAGCTTATGAGTGTACTGGTGAAGGACGGGCACGGTGATGTGCGCTGCTTCTGCAAAGGTATGCTTTATCAGCGGTTGTATTTCTGTATATTTCATCACAAGTTGTATTTGTGTATGCTTCATCACTGGTTGTATTTGTGTATTTTTCATCGCTGGTTGTATTTGTGTATGTTTCAACATTGGTTATATATGTGTATGTTTCATCTCTGTTTGTATTTGAGTACGTGTTGTCAGTTCGTATGAGTTCGCGTAAGTGTGTATTTTGATACACACATAACGTCAGCCACACCTTCGAATAGATGAGACTGGCAAAGAAGTCACATACCGCGCCGGAATGCCTATACGCACAAAGCGAAGGGAAAACGCATGCACACAACTCGGTAGATTACGGGCACACAAAAGACTAACTACGCATGTACTAACTATAAACGTATGCATAAACCCAACCCAACTCGTACTAAGAATAAGGACCTGCTATGGTTGGTGTATGCGCACCCGTTCAACTTAATAAGTATATATGCAAACTATATAGGTATATAGGTCTTTGGAGAAGGTCAGGGGTATGCAAATAGGGCCATATGTGCCCTCAAATTACATATATGAAGGCTAGTTAGTCTTACCCATAAAACCCTTGTTAGTTCTACTGGACGCACTACCCTAACAAAACCCGATTGCAAAAAACCCCCCAAAAAACCCAAAAAACTACACAGGGTCATTCGAGAAGGTCGAAGGGGTCTGCAAACCGGCAACTGTGCCCGCGGATTACATATACGAGGCCAAGGAACATGCAATCAACGGTGGCTATGTATTGGGTGTCTCACACACAAACCTTGGACCGCTAAGTGCAGACCAGATCTCACACTTCACGCGCAGAGATGTCGAGAAGAATCTCGATCTCTTGGGTTTGATCGTATTCAGAAACGAGCTTAAGGTGTGTGTGTGTGTGTGTGTGTGTGAGGAAAGTGGGCGGCGGGGGGGGGAATTGCGATTCTTGGTACTCTCAATCTGATACCGGAATCGAATCAAGCTTTATTCTTTTTTCCTCATTTTATTTTTATATGAAGGGCATCGATTCAGTAATAGTTAAGATCCAGGTTCCCTATTTGCACGTATACGCATATGAA